TGTAAAAACTTGATTTGTAATACGTCATTTAATTAAGAAACAACTGCAACTGTAAGCATTTGGTCGAGTAGTCCAGACATTTATCTTCCAGAATCAACCTTTGTTTACAAAAAACTTGATGTTTTGAAAAAGTTCTCTAAAAACCCTAAAAACTACAGTTTTTTAAAATTAAAATTCCGGTTTAATTTTTCTACTTGCTGAAGTTTTGGATGTGTGATTGCGTAAAGATGAGAGTTCTGATCAAGATGAGACGTTTCGCAGCTTCGTACCTCTGATCTTTCCTTCTCGAGTTATGCGAATTTTGCTGAAAGTCTTAAATCATCACTAGTTAACTACTGGCGTGTTTCTCGAAATAGGGTCTCATGGGACAAAATTGCTGCTCTTGTTAGAAGTTTCATCACAGGATCTTAATTTTTGTTATGTTTTCTAAGCAAGACCTATATCTAAAAAATGACCGTGACGATTTTTCAAATTCTTTTCATGAGTGGAGGAAATTGGAAATATTACATCCGATTTCGCAGTTCTGACTTAAAATATGTGTAGAAAATGAACGGAAACGAATTTCGAAAATCACCACGAACAATTTTTATATATGGTTCTTGACTACAAAAGAAAACAAAAATTATTTTTTCTCTTTATTTTATTATAAGATCTATTACATCTTGCGATGAACCCTCTAGGAGGAGTAACAATTCTGTTGAGGATCCTTTTTGCTCTTTGAGACTCTTATAACTCATTATTATAGACTCACTATTGTAGCTCACCATCCTTCCAATCGTTAGAGCTCAACTTTTCAGTATAATCTAGTTAAGTGACGGCTAATAATCTCTGAAAGGTTCATCAAAAACTGAAACTTATTTTAAATGGGGGCTCTTAATTCAGTTCCCATCTATTGCAACAATGAGAAATAGTCTTAAAAAGAACGTCAAAAAATAAGACCACCACTTTCCAAAAATATTAGTGATTTTTCATATCCAATTCCAAAATATGTATCAAAAAGTGTAAGTAGAAAACAATTTTTATTGTATGATGGTTTAATCTATAATTCGTAATGTATAATATTGGCAAGACTAACCGATATTTTCAAATTGTTTCAATGTAAAATGTCGTATTGTGATGGAATACTTTGCCCGTCGAGATGTTTAACTATCTTTTCATTTGCGGGAACCAGTTTAGTTTTCTTTTCAAACAAGAGGTTCAACTATATCTCGCATTTTTTCCAGTGACTCTTCTATCTATTTCTCATTTTTACCTCGACATGCAACTGACTTTTGAATAGAAAATAAAACGGAGTACGAAAATCGATATCACCTACATAGCGCGCGTGAATTTTACCGATAAGATAACGTTTGTCATATGTGAAGAACACGTTCACGCTGGAACTTCCACTGAATGCGTACGGGTATATACTAAGCTGTGGTCAGTTCGAGTTCCATACATACGAGTGAGTTTATACAAGGCAAGAGATCTAAGATTTGCATACTCTTCAAATATAACTAACATTTTAACTTTTTTAACTATTCACAGTACTTAATATACATCGACTTGACGATTAAAAATGGTACAGACCCGTACTAACTATGACCACATCCATCTACAGAAAACATTTTTGCTTTTTCATTCAATGATTTGAATTAGATAAATCCTTTCTAGCTCGATGGTATTTATCACTACAATGTTTTGATTATTATATCTTTTAACTAGGCGGCCTATATAGAAACAAATTTTTCATCAACTTAAAGCTTATCACACAGTGAGCATATTCCTTATGGCAGACGGACATCAGAAATTTGCAGCCAGGTATTGTTGGTTCATGGGAAAATATTTTCATGGATATTTTTTCAATCGAAAACTTATTGCGTTATATATGATTCGATGTAACTCGACGCGCTGATTCCGAATATGACAGTATGTTTTATTAAAAGTGCTCCTGATCTGAGAAAAATAGTTTCCACCTGAAATACTAGGATTTTTTGAAAAACCCATAACTGAACTTAGGTAAACATCCGCATTTTTAAGAATGCGTTATAGATAAAGGAAATGATGAGAAACATTTTGGTATAATTTTGAGTCTGTTTTGGGGTTGGGAAACATGGGACCCCCATTACATACTAAATACCTCTTCGGAAACGGTATCAGTTCAGACAATAATTTTTTTTTCCTAAATCGTAGAAGTCAACTCAAATGTTTTTTTTATTGATAGATAGCTTAAGTGTCTAGATTCAGAATATGTAGTGTTTTCAAATTTAAATTGACTTAGTCTAATAAAAAAATGTTTTTTATCTGAGGTCGCTACTATATATACATTCTCTTCTTTGAGTGTATTTTTTTCCCAATAATTCAGCACTTGGAGTAGAAACTTTTATAAACGTCATACATTGAATATGTAGTCAAAATTTGGTGTCATCATCAAGTCTCGTGTACTTTGTACTCAACTGACTTTGAACTCGCTACTAAAGTACACATGCGGTTGAAATATTACACAATTGTTTGTTGATTGTCTCTTTTAAACACTTATCTCTGTTAAGTTCTCTTAGCTTTCTGAATTTTTGTTAATAGCCTACTTAAATATTCAATAAATAGATAGTAAAGGATGGCAGGTTCAAAACATCGAAAATAAAAAAAAATAGTTAAGAATTACAAACAAACTCGAAAAAGAAATTCAAAAATTAGATAGGATAAACGAATGTGGTTTTTCGGTATCAAAAGTCTATTTAATTCTACCCTTTTTATAATACTAAATATCTTATTATTTCTTAGTTCCACAGATATACATAACATGTGTCCCTTCATACGTAGAGAAAAAAAGATCATTTCAATACGATCATTCTAATCCTGCATCAACAAGTGCAAAGAATATTTTTGTGTTCCTTTATGTTAATCCGTTCTTTCCAAAGGCTAAACCTGAAAATTCGGAAATGACATTTACTTAGAAAACGTTAATGTATCGGGTGATGTAGAAATAATGACACACTTTTGTTTTTTTAAGTTTTTTTTTCATCAGTATTCATCGAGTAAAAACTTGTACTCAAGCTCATTCAATTAAGAATTTAATTTTCAACAAAACTAGTTGACTTAGTTTCGGAAACAGTTTTTCTTTTTCTTCTACAATACGAAAAACAAATGCCCTAAATGGCCTTAGTACATCATTATAAATTACATCATTTTTTATAATGAACTCAATTTTAACAGTTTAAGTACATCAAAAAAATTTCTCGTAAAATTCTGCATCTTTTGATGTTACCTTATAACTTTTAGATTAAGTTTTCAGCGAAAGTGGAAGATTAAAAAAGGTTTGGATATAACGAATTTTGGATCAACCTTTGGTGATACTTCGATTTTCTGTCTTTTTATCGAGAAATAAAGATTATTTTCTGTTACATTTGGTGCAGTTGGGTTGAGAATTAAATTCTTAATACAATGAGTTTAAGTGCAAATTCTTACTCGATGAATACCTACAAAAAAGCCTAAAAACAAAAGTGTGTCATAATTGCTGAACCATCCGATAATGACGCCCAGTATATAATCCAAAAGTTTGAAATAAAATGTGTCTTTGCTGGCGTGCTTTTTATGATGTGTTCTTGTATATTAGGTTGAATATCAAAGAGTTTTTTTATAATTGATATTTGATTATTGATTTGAAATCTGGAATTGATACACAGTGGGCATTCAGGCGGACATTGGGTAAAAAATTAAAAGTGCGCTTTTCCAAATTCAAATAGTGTCAAATATCCTTTGATCTACAGGCTGTCTGTAAATAATTTCAGTTTTTCATTATTTATTTGATTGCTCACATGAGTAGATGATTAGAGGTTGTAAGTCCATACAACCGAAAATGTTTGGATAAGTAAGTCTAAAAGACCGTATTTTCTTGTTGTTTTTTTATAGTCAAACAAACTGACGTAAGAAAAAGAGTACTTTTTATTTTCTTTATTTCGTCGGTTTTTTAAATGATTCTTGATGTATCCATTTTTTTACTTGAACATATTCTCTTTGTAATTTCGCAGTTCTTAAGGAGAAACTACGTATTGATGCTCACTGTTGTTGAGCCACCTTAGTAAATTAAGAAGAAAGGGGAAAAACAAATAGATCTTGACAAAAGAATAAACAAAAGCTCAGGATAGACAAACTAGATCTCTCTTAAAGAAATATTTGACAATAATGTAATAAGTGTGGATTTCTGAATATATTTTCTTGTGCAATTTTTTTCATGCAAATGACTCATTTTCTCCGGATGAAATGATTTATTTTTGTTAAAACTCAAAAACTCCTCTATCTCTCTCTCTCTCTCTTTTTATATACAGCTAAATAATGACAGGATGTTTATTGTTGGTTTTCTTTCCTTACAGCGTTCAGAATCAAGCATATATTTATGGGAAAAAAAGAGAACTGTCATAAATCTACTTCCTTACTACTAGCATATATAGTAGAATTAGAACAAAATGTTTTCTGATTTAATCAGCATCTTTCATCTTTTTTCATAGAAACGGAAAAACTGAGTTAAATGATAACAATCTAAAGGTAATGAATGTTATAATCCGGAATTCAGCGTATAGAAAAATCTTATGAATTGATGTTTGAGGATGAAGTTGACAAGAACTCAAAGATCTACGTCTGTAGAATTCTTAAGTATTGTTAATATACGTCTGATTCTTGACAACTTGACAAAGGAACATTTTACAATAGAACAATAGAAAACATACATTAATTCTTTATGTCTTATCTAAAAAGCTACAGGAACTTTTTTTTATAAAAATATATTAGTTTTATTAGAAAATTATTAAGAATAATAAAGTGTTACATTGGAAAATCTTAGGCAGAGTATATAGTTAGTATCAACAAGAATTTATTATCATTCACCGAGTTTTTCATTCTTTTTCTAGACATTTTTTTTTTTTTAAATTCTATAGTAACATGATTATTCATTTATAAGAAGATCCGACACATATCAAAACGACATTCTACATTAAATTACATTGACTGTTTTTTCGACTAGAACAATGTCTTCATCAGTAAATAGTTCAATAAAAAATACGTATTATCAACATTTAGAAGCGTTAAGTTCTATTAAAACTTGTCGTGGAATGTATGATATGGTTCATTTCTTAAATAAATCGACTACAAAATATGATTCAAGTGAAATTAAAGAAATAATTGAAAATAAACTTCGTGAAAAATGTCCACAATTTTCTGATATATTTGCACTTCAACGACATTATCCATTAGCAAAACCGATACGTATACTTGGTTGTATAGTACCATTAATTTTAATTTTATTTGGAGTATTTGGAAATATTTTATCATCATTGGTCATGTTTAAACGTGCAAAAAGACGTCGTTTATCATCATATTTTTATTTAGCATTATTGGCAATATTTGACACATTAGTATTATTAACTGGATGTTTAATATTTTGGATTGAAGAAGCATTTCAAATTCGTCCATTAACTATAAATGAATTTTTATGTAAAACAGTATATTTTTTAAAATTTTTATTTACAGATATATCAGCATGGCTAATTGTAACTGTTTCATTTGAACGTTTTATCGCTGTTCGATATCCATTTCGATCTAAACAATTGTGTCATATTCGATTAGCACATAAATTTCCTTTTCTTATTATTCTCTTTTTTGCTATATATAATATTCATTGTTTTTTTACAGTGGGATTTGATACAGATTTTCTTGAAACACAATATGGATATGTGGCAAATTTTACCGTTTGTGATTTAAAATCTCATAAATGGTTAAGTTATATAGATACTGGATTTTATGCCGTATTTCCAAGTATCTGTATTTTAGTATTAAATATATTAATTATTATTACATTATTTCATTCAATTGAAATTCGCAATAATTATTTAAAACCAACATCTTCACAATCAACCAATAGTTTTGATCAGCGTACATTGAATTATTTTCAATCGAATCGAGTTAGCTATTATTATGGTTCAAAATTAAAACATCGACAACAATTAGAGTGTAATGTACAACGATCAGGTATGGAATATTGCTATTTTAACAGTATATCTACTCTAATAGACAATAAGAATAAGACAGTTTCTGTACTATAGTTTAATTTCATAGGATCTGACAGTAAGAGGACACCTCCTATATCCTGATCGGGATATATATTCCGATCAGGATATAGAAAAAACTTAATATCCCGATCGGGATAGAAAACACAAAATTTCGTCGTAAAAACGATTAAGGGAAAAATGATCACGTTTTGGGATAAAATGGACATCACCATTAGAAAGGGCCCGGAAAACTACATCGAATTATGTTATGTTTGGTCAAAAGTGTGTAAAAAAACAAATTTTAGTCGAATTTATATACGATCTAGAAATAGGCAGTTAATCTTTTATTGCTCATAATAGGATATACTCTTGATCTAATCACTTTCCACATCGATCGTCTTCCAGTTGGAGGAAACAAAAGACAATACTAAGAACGTTAGAGAGGGACAATAAAGAAGAAGAAGAAGTAGCAAAATATTCAGCTCTCATATAATTCAAATTTATCATTTTCTTGAGCGTACATATCGATCGGGATATGTCTTCACACTGTCTGATAATGGTCAAAGTTAGAACATTTTCTTCTTTTATTAGGGATTTCAATGTAATTTTACTATCTTAACATTTTTTATAAATAATGTCAGAGAACTAGAACTTCACTTGTCTATGCCACTAGAGTCCAATGAATGAAAGCAGAAATATATTTGAATATTTGTCCGCTAGATATGAAAATGAAAATACGATATTTATTACTAAAGTAAAATGATACTTTTACTGTGTAATTTATTATAGTTTTTTCAATGCATAAAGTTTGTAGAAGATTCAAGGCATTCATTATAGCTGAAAACTTTTTTAGAAATGTACGTTTATCAAATGAACAAAGAAAGTATGACGATTACCGATAATTTTATTTCTATTTTTTTAAACTTTAATTCTCATCTCTGCAATCCATGGCCACTGAAATCGGATGTGCCCATTACACCTATGTCCAACGGTACCGAGACAATGAACATGAGTATTATTTCTATTTATCATATTGCCAGTACATAAAAAAGCAACAGAAAACAAAAATGATATATTTTTCTTTTTGCTTAGTATGTAAAAGTAAGACTGTATTAAAAAGAGCCTTTTTGATATTTGTGAAAGAGTTTAGTGCGGTTATAACACGATATTCAGTTATAAATTAATGTTTATGTAATTAATTACGATATGTGAATATTACATAGTGGTAAAACAGAGCCTGGCAGAATTGTCCTGTCCAATAGAGTATAAGATTCGAATACATTATTCTCAGCAATATATGTAAAAATTTTATACTTTTCGAGATAAATTTGATGAGCAATATAATAATATAGTTCGAGTAGATGCTTTTTCTAAGTAAACACTTGTAGAACTAAATGTCTAATAAATCACGTATCTAGCCTATATATCCAAAGAAATATTGTTATAATATCTACCATTATTACGCAGAAAAGTTATACAATGATGTAAATTAGATATTGGTATAACACGTTCATTTAATCCAGAATTGAAATCATTTTCTAGGGATAACTAATGAGATCATGAAGAATAAATTGAGACTAGGAGGAAGAAGAATTTTTTTGTCAATAATTATTAACAGGCATTTCTAATTAGAAAATGATTTCCGTTTTGTTGATAACATTATTCCGGTTCTTTTTTCATGCAATAAACCACCCTCTATTTTTATCAATAGTGGAAGTTAAGTCACATAATACGCGTGCTTTAAAGTTTCCCTTTTAAGCCTACAGGATCAACAGAAAACGAGACATATTTTATTGATGATGAGACACCAGAAAATATGTCATTATTACCTTTAATGACTTTCCGTTACTGAAAAGATTATTTAACACTTTAAAGGTATACTTTGATTATTGAATTTTTGCTCCTCTTATAGTAAACTTAGTTGTTCTTTTGTTTTAGAATCTTCTCCGATTCGTTCATTGAAAAATAACACAAGTACTACTTTATCGAAAAAACTTCTCAATTCAGATAGATCATCATCATTAAAAAAATACGGAACTGTTCGTAATGCTCCAACATCTATCGATCCTCATAGTACCACTGGTATTCGTTTAACAATACTACTATTAGCAATATCATGTATATTTGTTGCTTGTACCATACCCGTATCATTTCGTTCCATAATAGCCGGTCATTATGCGGAAAAGATTAATCAAAAACCAACGAATAGCTATGTGACGTGGGAAAATATACAATTCTTTTTAAAATTATTAATGTATTTAAATCATTCAATTAATTTTGTTCTCTATTGTTTCACTGGACGTGCATTTCGACAAGAAGTTAAAAAATTATTAAAATGTATTTGTCGTTTATCAGAGTGGCATATTGTATGTGTATCAAAGAATGTACCAAAAAAAAAAAAATCCTATAATAAAACGCATAATCAAATTATATTACTTAATCGTCATTTACGCATCAAAAATCATGCAACATTAAAAACATCACTTTTGTAAAAATAACAATTAATTTTTCGCTTGCGTAGTTTTACTTTTGGTGTTTTGTAAATATTTCTTAATTTTCTCAATAAATCACGTTTTCTCTGTTCAATGGCGATTACTAATGACACAGACGTGATATACCGACTTTAGGGCACGAACATTATGAGAATGAAGATTGCTTTCACGTTATTCACGCGCGCAATGGCATAAAGATTTCAAAATTTGTATCAATACACATCTAGATTCATTAATTATATCGACAGACATTATGTGTTTTTGATGCGAAAAATGTTTTTATGTCGACAGGCATTATGTCTTTTTGCTGGGAATTTTGTTTTTATCTTTTTGTATGGGCCTGTGTTGTGCATTATGTGCACCTCATGATCTGGAGAACCATGAAAGCTAAAAGAGTTCTGAGAAAGGTAGGATATTTTCCCGATATTGGAGATTGATCAATGCATATTTTTCTCTCATATAAAGGTCCAGATTCGATG